ACTAGGCTCTGGACAGACAAAATCTGAATTGACTAAGGCAGTGTTTCTTAAATAAGAGCAAATTGGGCCTGCCACTCCAAATCACTACCATCTCTTGCAGCAAGACTATATCAGCACTCACATGCTCAGTGAGAGAGTCATCTCAAGCTTGCAAACAACCAGTTTAGAACAAGTAGAGGATAAAACCGGAAAGGGTTCCCATCACTCTATTTTTTGGGCAGCCCTTAAAAAATGGAGAATATTTTAGATCTCAAGTGTTCACCTCTTGGATGCATTTAAGAAGACAGCATGAATCTAGTTCCTCTCTGTCTCTAGTGCAGCTCAAAATAACCAAGCACCACTCCTTGCTGACCTCTTAAGGTGAGCCACTGTTATGTTTCCTACCTGCTGCTGCTTTTCATCTCTTTGACCCCTTCCGCTACCTGACTTTGGCTTTGCTCCTAGTCCTTCAGATTTATTGTTTTGTGCAAGATCTCTGTTTCTTTAGATTCCAGATTGTCCTAACAGATTGTGATTTGGGTTACGCTGCTGGCTCTCTATCAGCTGGGCTACCCTAATTCTTGCTCTTCCAAAGCTAACTTCCAGCAGAGTCCATTCTACTGATTAGCTTTTCTCTGTATCTGCAAGAATATACATGAAGGAACTGGGGACATAGCTCAGTGGCAGAGTACCTGCCTGGCAAGTGTGAGGTCTTGAGTTCGATTCACAGTACTCCCCCCAAAAATGTGCGTGCGTGCGTGTGTGTGTGTGTGTGTGTGTGTGTGTGTAAAGGGTGGGGGCAGATGAGAGGGAGAGTAGGGTATATGCACAATTTAAAAAATCAGAGGGGAGAGAGACAGAGAGAGAGAAGCAACCACACAACACAAGATAGCTAAATAAAAACAAGCAAAGTTAGGAAGAAATGTATTTGCTACTCCTTATTGGCCATCCTGAGCTTTGAAGTAAATTCTTAATTAGGTGTTTACTTCCCTGCCAAGAATTTTATCTCAGCCCTCAGTTTTGCTGCCACCTGGTGCTAAAATGTTCCAGGAAGTGATGACTAAATAGTTTGTCAAACCCCAGAAAGCATAACCTAGATTCAGAGACAACACAAATTAGGAAGCTGGATATTTAACGTAATAAAAAAAAGAGAAAATATTAAAGAATAAAGACAAATGTCTTCATATAATAAATAATAAATATGGTATACCCATAACACAATTATAAGTTATAATATTAAATCATGATATGATTCTGAGATATCACCATCTCTTAGAATTATGGTCTATATAGTCCCCACTAGAGCTTTCACTCTTTAATGTAGCAGAATAATTAATTTAATATTTACTAAAAATAAATAATTTCTCTCAGTTAATAGCCTTCTTGATGGAAAAACAGTTTTCTATCTATTCATTGTAAATTAAGATTGATTAATTTAGTCGTTTTATTTTTTTGTTGGGAGGGGCTTGAGATAGGGTCTCAGGATGTAGTTTAGGCTGGCCTTGAACTCACTATATTGCCCAGGCTGGCCTCCAATTTGCGGTAATCCTCCTGCTTCAGCCTCCTGAGTGCTAGGATCACAGGCCTGTACCACCACGCCTGGCAGCCAAGGTTTTGCATTTCACAGAAACCGTTCATTTCCTTCAGGAGTTTCTGTTGACCTCTCCCTGTTCTCCACTCTGCCTCTGTTAGGTTTTGTTGCTCCTCTGCACAGGGCCTGCTCCTACTGTTTCTAATTTTTTCCAAAATGATGTTTTGTCTTTGTTCTTCCACTCTCTGTTAGAAGAAACTTTTTAAAATTTTATTTTTAGAGATAAGAGAACCAAAATATATTTAACAAACACACAGCCTAAATGAAACAAAAACCGTACAGAATTTCAGACAAGGTGAAAAGAAATTAACAATGGATGTTGTATTACATACTGTTATCTTCATATTGGCTACTCAGATAAACAAATGAAGACATGCAAGAATGATCAAACAATTAAATATCAACTGTTCCTTTCAAGAAACCAATAGAAATTAATAGTACAATTATCTCAGCCATTTTTTTTGTGTGTGTATATATATATATTCCCTTTTTCTTTATTTTCTCCGTTCCTTCATCCCAGTTGTTCTTTCCTTCTGAGCAGTTTCTTTCCCTTTCTCACTATCTAGTGTACCTTTTAGATTTCATTTACTCTTTCAGGTTCTTATACTAGGGAGACAATAAGATGTTTACACATGTGAGTCTTATTTATTTCACTTATGAGTATGGTCTCTAGTGGTGACCATTTACCTATAAAAGTGCCGAGTTTGTTTTTCTTAATAGCCAAATAATATTTCATTATATAAAAATGCCACAGCTTTTTTATCCATTCCTCAGCTGATCGGCATTTGGGTTGTTTCCACCATTTAGCTATTACAAATTCGGGTGCTTTAAACATGGGTGCACATATATCATTGTGGTATGATGTTTTTAGTTCTTCTGCAAAAACACCCAGAAGGGGAATAGCTGGGTTGAATGGAACCTCTAATCCTAGTTTACTGAGGAATCTCCAGACTGATTTCCACAGTGGATGCACCAGTCTACACTCCCACCAACAGTGGAGTAGGGTTCCTTTTTCCCCACAGCCCCTTGAGCATTTGTTCATGGTTGATTTCTTGAAGATAGCTATTCTTTCTGGAGTAAGATGGAATCTCAGTGTTGTTTTAATTTGCATTTCTCAAAGACTAATGATTCATGTATTTATTCTTCATGTATTTATTTGCCATTTGTATTTCTTCATGTGAGAAATGTGTATTCATCTCAGATGCCAATTTTTGGATTGGGTCTTTGAATTTTGGGGCCTGATTTTTATTTTTTTATTTTTATTTTTTCTGGTACCGGGAAACAAACTCATGACCTTGTGCTTGCCAAGGTGCTGTGCTGCTAAGCTAAATCCCCAGTCCCTGGGGGCCTGATTCTTAAAAATTCTTTGTATATTTGAGATAGAAGTCCTTTGTCTGAGGGGCAGTTGGCTAAAATTTTTTCCCAGTTTGTGGGTTTTCTTTTTACTCTGGTAGTGGGTTCTTTAGATGTGCAAAAACTTTTCAATAAACTGAGATCCCATTTGTTGATTTTGAAGAATTTCTCATGCAGTTTGGTTTTTATTCATGAACTCTCTGCCTACCCCTATGTCTTAAAGATTTCTACCTACTCTATCTTCCAGTAGATTTAATGTTTCTGTTTTAAATTTTAGATCTTTAATCCATTTTGAGTTTAATTTGGTGCATGGTGATAGACATGGGTCTAGTTTGAGTCTTCAGCATGTGGCAAGTCAGTTTTTCCAGCACCATTTATTAAAGAGGCTATCTTTCTTCCAATGAACATGTTCGGCCCCTTTGTCAAAGATAAAGTGGCTGAGAGTGTTTGTGGTTGTGACTGCATCTTCCAGTCTGTCCCACTCATCTTCAGCCCTGATATTTTGCCAATACCATGTTGACTTTATAACAGTAGTTTTGTAGTATAATTTCAAGTCAGGGATTGTGATTCCACCTGCCTTGCTTTTTTTACTCAGGATTGCTTTTGCTATTCTGGGACTCTTCTGGTTCCAGATGAATTTTAGGAACGTTTTCTCTAGATCTGTGAGCTTTACTAATGATATTTTAATTTGGATTGTACTGAATCTATACAATATTTTTGGGAGCATGGCCATTTTCACAATGTTGGTTCTAGAAGAAATTTTATATGTCATCCAACCTACATTTCCCAATCTAACTTTTAAAAAAGGTTGTGTTGTGCTATTGGACTCCCAACTAGAGCAATGCCTTGCTCATTAACATTTGAGTATTAGCTGTTGAGGAACATGAAAAGAATTCTCCAGTCCAGACAAAAGCATTCATTAATAGTAACATTTATTGGAGGTAGACTATATTTCCACAAGTGACCAAAAAAATTACTCTCATTCAATATGCTCTTTTCATTTTATTTTTACAATATTATTTGTCCTTTTGCAGAAATGTAGAATCTATATTCTCTTTCCTAGCATCTAGGTGGGCCTGTGACTTTGTAAGAAGTGATGCTGTGTGACTTCCAGGTCAAATGATGAAAAGTGATAAAGTTTCTGCTTGGTTCTCGTGGGATACTCACTTTTTGGACCCCGCCACCAAGCTGTGTGGAAATTCAAACTAGTTCCTGCAAAAACAGACACCACAAGGAGAGGTCACTTGTCCTTCTTCCAGCCCTGAGCCCAACTGTGGCCCAGCATAAATAGACACCAAGTGCAAACATAACTCCAGGTAATTATAATTCCAGCTATTGTGTCACTCCTGGCCTTCAGGACTTCACGGCCAAGGACTAGACATCACAGAGCAGAAGCAAATCATCCCTGGTGTGATTGGTCTAAATTCCTCATGCACAGAAACTGTGAGTATAACACAGTTGTTGTACTCAGAATTGTTATTCATTGCCACACCATTTTAGAGTAGTTTATTACACAACAAAGCATGAAAATGTATCCTAGTTAATGTTTTCCTCACAAACTGTGAGCAAGTCTAAGATAGTGCAATTCCAATACCTCTGTCCCTTCCCCACATGTTTTTGCCATCTTGAAGCTTCTCCAGTAAGCAGAATTGAATTAGCCATCATTTCTTCTGTTTTGGAGGGTCTTATTGGCAACGTCCCAGAAGTCCCACCATTAATCTCAAAGATTGTTTCTCCTTTTCTTTCGGTAGATCTGGAACTTCATTCTAGGTAATTTTGTCTCACTAATTTTTGGCCCCTTTCTCACATTGTTTATCCTTAGCTTATTTTATCATCCATCCCTGCGATTCTCAGCTTCTTCAGACAAATGGCACTGGAATTTTCAGTTCTTGTGAAGAGAGCCCAACTGTTATGGTTTACGTCTAGATGTTTCCTCAAAGCCTCAGCCACATGCCCCTCAGAGGCGGGGCATTTGAAAGGTGATTGAGTCACAGGGGCATTGTGGCTAGATGCAACCTTAGGTAAGGTCTGGTTGAAAGAGGTGTGTCACTGGAGGCGTGGCTGGGAAGGATGTACCTCCCTTCTCTGTCTCTGTTTCCTGGCTGCCATGACGTGAGCAACTTTCCTCCTCCGTATCTCTCTGCTGCGTAACTCCTGCCCTGCAACCAGCCAACCATGGACTGTAAACATGAGCCAAGGTAAACCTGTCCTCCTTTAAGTCATGGGTGTCTGGTATTTGTCTCAGCAATGAGGAAAGTGACTGAGACACCAAACTGCCCGTAAGAATGTGATCTCACCTTCTGGTTCTGACAGTTTTATCGTGAATAACCCAAAATTACTATTTTCTAGATTATTGAGCCTTAATACCAAGATAATGATATCTAAAATTTACTGACATTGGTATGTGCCAAACATCGTGCTAACGTCTTTGTATACCTCCTTCAAGCTTGCCAAACACCTTAGCCTCCTTCCCATTTTAATATGAAGAAAGCAAAGGACAGAAAATCTAGGTGCTATGCTAAGGCAGAACAGCTTGCAAATGGTAGAGGGGAATTCAGATGGCAGCAGTCTAACTCTAGAGCCCATGTTCTTAATCCCATGGCTCATGTGCAGAACATTAAATAGCCATTTTTCTATAAAATTTGAGACAAGTTCTCACTAAATTGCTCAGGCTGGGTTTGAACTTGTGGTTCTCTTGCCTCAGACTCCTAGAGTGCTAGGACTACAAGCCCAGCATGAGACTGATCTTTCCCTAGCCTGTTGCAGGGTAATGTGAAGATCTTACTTATATGTCCCTCCTGCTTTTCTCTGGCTCACAGCTTCCTATTTCTATACATAAGGGCACAAATGTCTCCACAGGAATAAGTGGCTGTTTCTAGGTTTAGATCATCCCGTTTAATTGTGTATGAAGAAAACAAACATTTCTCTCAAAGAAGCAGCAAAGTCTGTAGATGCATAGTTTTGGCTGCTAAAATTTCTCCAGGACAATTTATATTATAGGATAGACACTTGGCTTTTTAAGTTGAAATATTTGCATTTAGGTTATACCACACATCTTCCCAAGAGTAACAGGTGGAAGCTTGTTTTATATTTGTGTAACTAAGGGCCAATTCATGGCTTTATCACCCTGAAACAAAGAACCATCTGTTTCAAAGTGTCTTCTCAGAGGGCAGAAGCTGCTAACTGCTCTTTACTAACAGTGCTTTGCATTGTTTTATTCCCTAATGTCACTGGGGTGTAACAGGCTTCCTGGGAGTAGCCATACCTCTCCTATTGAAGCTTCACCCAACACCAACATCTTCCCAGTATCAAACCATGGTTTCTCTTGTATGATAAACTGTTCTATGATAAACTCTTACATGATAAACATACACATAAAGAGCAAAAGTAAGACGTAAATAATAGCAAGCAGGGAGATAGACCTTCCTCAAATGGGAAGGAGATTAAGAAATGAAGGAAATGGGGAGGGAGAGGAAGAGAAGGGAGTGAAAAAAGGAATTGAAATGTGTTATATACACGTGTTCACTCCACACAAGGAATGTGAACATTATGTACTGCAAACACACACACACACACACACACACACACACACACACACAAATTCCATTTTTTTCCACAAGTAGATGAGAAGTGGCAATTTTATTCAAAATTCCATGGGACTAGTGGGAGAGGTTTACATTATAAAAGCATATTTCAAAAAAATTAATAAAATCTCACTTAAATATCTCTGTAGTTTTCCCCAGTTTTTCACTGTGGATAGCAGCGTTCAGGTCTCTTCAAAACTATTCCCTCCAAATGATCCCAAAATATGACAATATTGGTTTCTCAGGTGGATGCTTTAATAGAAGGACACGTTGAGGAGAGAAGGATCTTACTAAATGAGGTAGACAAGATGACCTACTTTGCCATTATCAGTCAGACACTTCACCCAGTCACTCCTGTCCTTGCCCATTGCGCCCATAAATAAAGTAGCCACTGCTGCAGGTTAGATGTTATCCAGCAACACAGACTTTCTATTATGAAAGCCAGTTGGGTTACTTCCATGGTTGAATCTCCAAGTGCCAACAGCAAAGACCAGTGCCACCTGGAGACTGGCACCATTTTTCAGGCCACTTAGTTCAGGCTAATTATATTGGACCCTTCTCACCTTGGAGGGGGAATGTTCATTGTTTTTGCAGAATTACTTAATCATCATGACATTATGGTATACCAACATCCTTGCTTCTGGGCCAGTGAACTCATTTTACAGAGAATGAACACAATTTATGAAGCAGCTGACCTGATAGAATTTTGTAATGACCTTTGAAGACTCAGTTTAGTGCCAGGTGAGTGGCAAAACTCATTAGCTGAGTCATGTTATGTAGAAGTATGGTCTTGCTATGGTTTTTATTTGGATATTAAGTGAAGTTACAGAAGCATGTGTGTGAGTACCAGGTTAATTGCAGTGTGGGATAGACAACGCTGGATTATGCTACGTCAACATGCATAAACTGAGAATTGCACTTACTAAGATTCCATTTCTTTGTAAGGTTTTTGAGTTAGACTTGACCAAAGAAACTTACTTTAAATTTGAAAGTTAGCATTACTCTCTCAAGGTTGCAGTGGTCAGATGTGGTGACAGAAAGATACAGAAGTGCCTGGGGGTTCATCTTGTTATTTCTCTCTCTCCTGTTAGCATTTAATGTCTTTCCAATCTTTAAAATCTCCCTTTTGACCTCATGTCCTTTTTTATGCCACCCTCTCTCCTTGTATACTAGGTGTGTCTATTTCACTTTTGTCCTAAATCTGCTGCTTTCCCTTGGCCATCTCCTTCCCTCTAAAACTTCTCTCACTGTTCTCCTTGTACTGCCTTCTTTTTAGATTTTTGTTGCTATCATGTGTTGGTGGTTCTCAAGAATATGTATACACTATACAGGTATTTTCTTTGAGGTTCACATTCATTTATTTAACTAACACTTCCTCTTGGATGGCAGATGAGTACAGTGCAGCATGTCCGTAACTAAACTCATCATATTTCCCCCTCAAAACTACAAGTCCTTTGTATGTCTTACAGTATCTTTATCCACCTAGGTGTCTAAACCAGAAACAGGGTCTAAAGGCTTTGTGCTTGTCTCCCAGCTTCTTTTCTTACGTAGATTTCCTTTATCTTTTTCCTGGAAGAATGAAATAGTCATTCTTCCTGAAGTAGTGAGGTTTGGATTATATAACACACATAGCCCACACCATAGAAGTATTTTGGTTTATTGGAGAATTTGGGAAATAAATGTAGTTCATGGGAGACGTTGCTGAGATGAACAAAAGAAAAACACCCTTGCACAAAGTAGACATTTTCAGTATTTTAGGCCTGATGACAATGCTGTGCATTCCACAATTATTTATTAATTTTTTCCAATGCACTAGGAACTGTGCTTTCAAGAGAAGCATCCAAAACAATGATTTACTGTGTTCTCTTGAGCCCAGCACTGTGTGACATGCAGGGAATATAAAGAAGAAAAATTCATGGTTTCTATGCCCAAGGGACACTGAACACTCTGCAGTCTCTACCCGGTTGAATGATGTCTCAGATGGTCCCACCTGATGCTGAGCTCCCCGCATAGACAGTGCTGCAGTGAAGTTTCTTCCAAGGCCTATTATTTTCGAAGAATAAATTAAGTCAAGAGGGAGCAAAAAGTCCCCATTTCAAAGTCAATCTAGAGGCATATGTAGACCGTTGTCTAGATGCAAGGATTCTTTTCCGATGACACATAGGAACCACCTCCTTGAAACCTGAATTAAATTGCAAGCAATCTCAGTAATGAATTCAGCCTTGTACTCAGCTCATTCCCAGAACCTCTGGCTTAATTATGAGAGGAAAACCTATTTATTCTGGGGCATCACTGCTTTGGGATAAATTCCTGGAAGCCATCTGAAAAGCAAAATTAAGATCTTTCTGAATCTCTTCTCTGGAGTTCTGAGAAAGAAAAGTTTCATGTTTGGTCTGTCAAGTTGCTTTTAATTTAAGCCTATGAATTTGCCCCTTATTTAATTTTCTTTGACTATAGTTCTCCCTGTCCATGCAGAAGCCTAGATCTCCTTTGGGAGACAAAGTCAAACTTTTTTGTGTCTTCAGATACCATCTTTCCCTGAGCGTATTCTTTATGTTATTAGTTCCAAAGTAAAATGATGGCACTTACATAGCACTTTACATTTACAAAACTTTTTTTTTACATATTTTAGTTACACATATTTACTTTTTCATATATTTTCATTTCTTTCATTGCTTAATCCTAACAGCAACTCAGAGAGACAGAGCTGTGAGGAACCATAGGCTCAGAGAAAAGTAAATCATCCAACATCACACAGCTTTTAGATGACAGACCTCACCAAGGACCCAGAGGTTCTAACTGCTACCCTCCTCCTACCTTTTCTGCCTATATCTATCCCTTAGCCAAAGTAATTCCTAACCCATTTCAAAATTGGATAAAGCCATGTTGATAGTGGGAACCAAGGAACACTGTTGTCTCTTTCCTGGTGACTAGGTTAGTTGTGGGAACCCCTGGAGACTCCATAAGCCAGAACCCCAAAGTGGCTTCCCAGTAGCAAGAAATGCAGGAGAAGTTCTCTTGAGGTAATGGTTCTTAACATGGGCTACACATTGAAAACATCTGGGACCTTTAAACAAATACTGAATCCTGGGTCACAATCCTGGTTTAGTCGGTCCAAGGGGCAGCCTGGTCATTTAGATAGTTCTAAAGCTACCCAGGTGATACTAATATGCATCCAAGCTTGGGGAACATCGCCTGAGGGCTTCTACTATGTACTTTATCCTCACAGGTTTTGTGGGCTCATTCTCTGCCTTCTAAATCCTTACACCAATCACATGTAGTCACTGCATAAAATCTAGAAAATACAGATTAATCTTTGAAGATTGATAATTATTCCACAGAGAAATACTGTTAATAATTCAGTATATACCTTTCCGGATTTTTTCTACAAGATACCCATAAAAACATAAAATTATACTCTCCAACAAAAAATCAAGTACATATTCCCATCTCTGTAATTTTTTCCACATCAATAAATTCAAATTAATACCTTTTTAAAAGACTTTATAGCCTTCCGTAGCTGTACTTCACTTTTGTCTTTAATGCTAAGTGGAGTTTTCTTTTTATATCCACATCCATTCCTTTTTAGAGAAGACACTTGCAGTCCTAAAATTTAATAGGTATGATCAGAGTTTGTCAGTCCTCTTGGTTTCTGAGCCAGCTCCAATTTACCTGGAAAAAACACACACCGTAAAACAGTTACTAATGTGGAAAAAGGCTTTCTGGAGAGGGAGGTTTATGAACTATTATTAATACCCAAGCACCAATGATCTTGACAAATAAATGAAACTTTGCATTCTACATCCTTCTAAATTCCATCAGCTCTTTAGCTATTTGAAGTCTCTTCTATATTGTTTAAGACTATCTAGTTAAGCTCACTGAGGGAATCCATGACATAGTGCTAAAAATAATAACAAAAGCTGAGGGGATAGCTCAGTAGTAGAGTGTGCATTTTGCTTGCATGAGGTCCTGTGTTGATTCACCAGCACCCTTCAATGACTAACTAACTAACTAACTAACTAACTAACCAAATAAATAAATCAGCATTTGCAAGCAATTTACAGTAGATAATTCTAGCATAAAAATAATAAGAACTAACTACAATTTATTAAGTGTCCTTATTGAGAATCAGTGTGCCAGGCACCGACCCAGGCATATAATAAACTTCTCCATTTGTTACCTTTCATAAAGTCTACATACAGGGGCTGGGGACTTAGCTCAGCGGCAAAAGCGCCTGCCTGGCAAGCGCAAGGTCATGAGTTCGGTCCCCGGTACCGGAGAAAAACCAAAAAAAAAAAAAAAAAAAAAAAAGTCTACATACAGTGGCACTGTTACACACATTTTAAGGATGAGATGGCTAAGGTGCAACGAAAGCAAGATTGGAAACATACTGCATATTGTGTCATAGTTTCACTCTAGCCATGCACTCACCGTACCTAGCAAAAGATAGGGACTCAAAAGATAGGGACCTAGTTAACGGATGAAGGAATAATTAAAAAACATGTGGTTTCACTTATTCATGTTGCCTCTGACTAATGCAAGATACTCTCCTTAGGGAAATTTTGCTTCCTGGGCCTTCATTCCCTAGCAATGATTATTCACATAGTAGTAATTTGGTGGCTCGTGGAAGTGTGCCTGTATTCTGTTCATTCTCCAGGGGTTTTGGAATTCAGTTCCTGGAAAACAGCATTGATGTCATATGTGAACTTGTTAGAAATACAAATTCATGGATACCACTCCAGGTCATGGAATCAGAATCTCTTTGCACAAGTATCAAAAACAGTTTCGGGCTGAGGTAGCTCAGTGGCAGGGCACTTACCCAGCATGTTCAGGGTCATAGCTTCAATCCCCAGTACTGCAGAGCAAGCAAACACACAAAGAAAAAAGTAAACACACACACACACACACACACACAAAAAAAAAAACCAAACAAACCCTGTTTCAACTAGCTATCCAGATGATTGCAATACATTCTTAAATGAATACTAGAGTTTGAGAATTACAGAAAATAGATGACTGCTTTCCTGTCCTGAGATTCATAGTAGTAGTTTAACTTGTATGAGTGGATAGAAGAGGTTGGGAAGGCACAAGTTGGGAAGATAGGAGAGGAGTGAATTGGGAGGAAAAGCATGGATTTTAGGAGGGCCTGTATCTTTAGGATATCCAAATAAAGATATCTAGAGGCGTCTGGAGCTCAGGGGAATGGACTGAGCTGGAGATACAGATTTGGGAGCTGTAGATGACACCATGTGTGAAACTGCTCAGGAGATGGAAAGCATAAGCACAAAGAGGGTCACTGACATGTTTTAGGAGAGTGAGGAGTGGTGTTGAGAGAAAGAACCTGAAGACATCCATCCTTCCTTGTGAGTGACTTGCACTGGAATGTTTGTCTCATTTTCTCCTCTGGATTATAAACTCCTTAAGGCAGGGGCTATGTAAACTTCAGTAAATCCCTCAGACAAAAGTACATTGCTGCAGTCTGTGAATAATCACTAAATTCCTACCATGATTTTTTTTGTTTTTGCAGAAATCCAATGTGATCAGAGCCATCAGCAAGATATGTCCCCCAAAATCTGTTTTATAATTTCCCAATGGACATTGCGGCAGATTAAAATGAAGTGAATAAATAAGGAGCATCATGTATAATCCACTGATATCCATGCTAATCACATTAAGCAGAGTGAACTAATTACACCTGAAAACAGATGCAAAGTTGAATTCCTTAGAAAATCAATTCATTAAACTCATATTGGAATGCACAGTCAACAACCCCCATGTTTAGAAACTATCAGCATGATTTGTGGCAACTTCTGATTTACTAACGAAACTGCTTAAAACATTTTTAAAGGCAATTACAATTACTGTCTGGCATTTGATGGAAAGAAATCTTGTCAGCATTGTCCCTTGTGTGTCAACTGTCACAATTTTCTAAAACTTTTGAGGTGAAAAATAGGCAGGCTCTACTATTTGCTAGCCTCGAATAGGGTTAATTCAATGTGTGTCTGCAAATAATAGTGTTTAATGTAATCTCTCTAATTACAGATAAAATGCATTTTCAGTCATGCTCATCACTGACAGTATTTTGGGATAAGTTAAACTGACAGCTGCTTTCTAAAGGAAAGGAAAAAAAATAAACCTTCCTTGGGGTTGTGTTGATTTTCTTTCTCTCCCTCTGTCTTTTGCATTGAAGTTCAGAAAAAGATGAAACTAGACACTTGGCTCTGGATATCAACCTTGGAAGTTTTGACATAGTCTTTTTCTTGGGAATTTTACCTCTCACCCCTGTCAATGAATGTTTAATGTTAATTCACTCAAGAAGAGTTTTCTGAGTTTCTAGTAAACCAGACATTGTTCTAGGCACTAAGGAGATCAAGAAGAATTGAGTCTACCAAGCCTGCTTCCCTACAATTGGCCCAATAAACCAAGTCAAGCTACTATAGTGCACATGATAGTGACAGCCTTCTCAGGGTGAAATTATTCAACTGACACTATGTTCTGAGAGGTCAGGGTATGTTTTTCCATAACCATAGCCTACTAGACCAGACACAGCCCAAAAGCACCCAATCCACAGATTGTTTAGGCATCTACAATGTGGTCTTGCATGAAAAGTTGAGGTAGGTCAATTAGATTTTCCCTTTCAGGATTAGGAATTGGAAAATACTGAAGGAAGTATTTGTGGACAAAGGTGAAGTTAGAAGGTGGTAAAAGAAAAACTGCAAGATAGAAAGAATTAAGTCCTTAGAGACTGGGCATCACCATCACCAGGTCTGTGAGGTTATGAGGAAGCATTCCAAGTTGAATGAGTCAAGAAATGAACATGAAATAAATAATTTGTGATCTTAGAGCTCTTGGCTTATTTTAGTATCCTCAGAACATAGGCGTTTCACACTAAGTCCCTGTATGTCTGGTAATCTGAGCAACTAATTTGAAGATAACAATATGCAATAAAACAACCATTGGTGAATTCCTACTATCTTGTTTAGTGTATCATTTCTAATGTTTTTAAAGTTATTTGATATTCTCTTTGATGGTTTGATCAGTCTAGCATTCTTACATCTGGTAATCTGAGCAACTTTGTTGAAAATAACAATATGTAATATAATAACCAATGTCAATTCCTATCATTTTGTTTTGAAACCCTGTATCATTTTTATTGTTTTTGTGTTGCTTTGTTTTTGTCTATGCTGTTATTTTGTTATTTTTTTACATCTTTAAAATAAAAAAATCAAATGTAAATGTTAATAAAACATTAACATTGTAAAAAATACTTCTGACTCTTTTTTCACCTATTTTTCATTTGAGCCATAATTTTTGCGCCCTGTGCAAATACCAGTGGTTTAACAAAGAGTTTATTTCTCTCTCATGATAATCCCAGTTATAAGTAATCTGGGACTAATAGGGTAATTACTTCACAAACTCTCAGGAACCAGGTTCCTTCCAACATTTTTCTTTACAACTCTTTGGAGACACCCTTATCTCCATGGCCTAAGGAGCAAAAGGGAAAACATCACCAGCTGTCACTTAAAATACGTTTCTTGAACCTGAGAAAGTATTATCCATAATTTATGTGTAGAAATTCTGGAAAAGATCTGAGTTTTACTTCTAGAGAAACACTATACACAGAGTCAACACCAGAAAAACAGCAAGAAAATCCATTAACAGAACTAATTAATCAGAAGTGGGATCCCAAAGCAAGAGCTAGTATAACAATTGGCAGAATTTATAGCTGTCTTGAGGAGGCTTTTGGAATTACCTATTTGTGAAATAGAATTTTAAAATATCCCTGCTAGCTCTTAAGTAGAAACGGCACTATGAGCATATGGATTAGAATACAAATTAGACATAGTCCAACACCAGCCCTACCTACCTAAAATATCACCTATCACACTTGAATCTCCTCCAAGTTGAAATTTCCACACATACAGCAGTTCTTTGAGATAGATAATAGTAATGTTGTCTCTGCAAGCCACTAACAAGTGCTATTTAGAAGAGAGGGTTAATATATAAGGCGTAATACCCAGATTTCTAGACTTCAAGATGGTAGGAAGTACAACATCTTAAAAGTGGGGAAATTGAAAAGGAGAGGAAAAGAGAGTTTGCTCCAAAAAGTAAGGGAGATGAATAGTTTTGAGCATATTAAGTTTGTTCTTAAAAAAAATTAAGTATAAAGCACAATAAGTTGCCATTTCATAACCACTGGATTAGCAATCAAGAAATTCTGATAAATCCAAGTGTTGGGAAAGGTGGAAACAGCGGAAACATTCATATATTGTTGGTCAAAGTGTAAACTGATACAACAATTTTTGGAGAAAATTGCTATAACAGTAAAAATTATTTGCATGATAACTCAGCAATTTTGTTTCTTGGTAGACCCAGAGCTGGGGGTCAACTTAGAAGGCTTGTTAAAGTATGGATTCCTAGGTCCTTCCTTAGAGTTTCTGCCTCAAAGGGCTGGAGTGGGGCCTGAGAATTTACTTTTTTATTGCTAGAAAGGTCTCTGCATACGGTGCTAGTCTGGGACCACACTTTGGAAAACACCAGCCTGGAGGAATTCTTTTCTGTGTTTGTGAGGAGACATATACAAAAATGTTTATAGCATCATGGTTTGTAAAAACAAGAACTAGGAACAACTTAAATATCCACAGACAGGAAAATGAGCAGAGAATTATAGTGTATTAAGAAAGTTGCACAGGGGCTAGGGATTTAGCTCAGCGGCAAAAGCGCCTGCTTGGCAAGCGCAAGGCCGTGAGTTTGGTTCCCGGTACCAGAGAAAAACCAAAACAAACAAACAAACAAACAAAAAAAACAAGGTGCACTGAACAGTGAAATTAATGAATTTAATGAATTTAATGAATTAAAATTAATGAATTTAATGAAATTAATGAAATTAATGAATTTAATGAATTAAAGTTATATGACATCATAGATAAATTTGAAATACAAATTTGAGCAAAGGAAAAAGTTGCAAATAATATATACCTTCTGATAGCATTGGTGTGAAGTTAAAAACATGTAAATCTAGATAGCAAAATTTTCAAGGATACATATATACATGACAATAAACCAGCATTCAGAACGGTAGGAGAGGGAAATGTAGTTGGGGAAGAATAGAGGCTTTTAATGCTTCTTGAGTTGGGTGTTAAGTTCAAAGAAATTTGTTCTACTACTCTTTTTAAGATGTTTTATAGTTATTCTTTGCTTTTAAGTCAGGTGCATACTTTGTATTATGAACTATTTTATTTTTTGTAATCAGCTATAAATTTCTAGTTTATATTTAAAAATTTTCCTATAGTATCTTGGCAATGTGAAAAACAAAAAAACAAATATAAGGGAGATTATTTTTTAAATAAGAAAAGACCTTAATATGTATTAATGGACATAGACACATGAAAACACCTATGTTAGGATAGTATACATGTGTGTGCATGCATACATTTGTACTGTTATTCATGACTTGACAATAGGCATAAATTCTGAGAAGTACATTGGCAGGTGATTTTGTCCATTCTGCAAATACAATAGAGCATGTTATGCAAACTTGGGTGGTGTAGGTCAGTTACTTTGTGTGGCCACTGATGCCATCAAGAAATGCAGTAAACTGGTTTTGTATGAGGCTGGGGTTAGCCTAACACATTACGCCATTGTGCCATAAACTTTTTTTATAAGCAAGCAGAAATAATGCATTCTAAAATAATAATAAAAAGTGTAGTGTATTAAATACAAAAACTGGGAACATAGTCATTTATTTGTGGAATGGAATTCAAAAGTTATTATGTCCTGTACATGATGGCATGTGCCCTACACTTGTACAACTGGAAGTGTAGTATGGCTCTTTACCCCAGCACCACCATGTACAAGTGAGTAGTATATTGCCCAGAACAATGTGATGGCTATGACATCACTTGGTGATATGAAAGTTTCAGTCCATTATAATCTTATGGGACCACTGTGGTGTATGTGACTTGTCCTTGACCAAGATGTTTTTATCTTACATGACTGTATTGAAAAACACCTCTGTATGATTCTGAACCACTGATTAAAAAGCTGACAGGAAAAAAATGAACAAAGATGAAATGGCTGGGGGAAGAAATGAGAGTTTTAACAATGAAGGAGAAAATTTGTGAGAGGGCACATAAATTCATAGGGCAAAATAAAAGCCAGGCTGCCAGGAAGAGAACAGCTCTTATATGACCAAAGATTGCTCGGTTCTCTGTATTGTTCCAGCAGCTCTCTGTAGGAACAGATAAATCAGATACTGGGGTGATGGATTTGCTCTTTGCAGGTTTAGTAGAAGCAGCCAGAAGGGGACAGAGAGATGGCTGCAGAGAGATGGCTGCACAGTCCAGGTGACATCTTTGATGCTGTTGACTTTAGCCTATATGGAAATTTTAAATCACCTGAAATTGGAAGGATGGTCAGAAGCAGAAAACAGTAATGAGTTGAAAGATAGCCGTCTACTCCAAGGGTAGGGAACACTTGCGTCCCCAGAAAGAAGCAGCCAGAGGGATTCCAAGAGTAGGGCAGACCCTATTACATGGCTCAGTGTGTCTAAGTCTGGTAAGGGACAGAGTTAGAAACCTGGAGAAAAAACCATGAGAGTCAAAGAATCAGAAGAATTAGAAGATGGGCAGTAAGTTGAACTGCAAGAGAAAATGAGGTTGAGTCAGAGTACGGGGTAGTAGCTATGGACCTCAGGTCAAGTTCTATTCATTTTTGGGCAAGGAGATGAGGGTAATGACTGTGTGCTCTGGACAGGAGCCAGGTTTAACGACTGAGCTCCAAGAAGTCAGTCTGGGAGTACAGACTACTGACCTGATGACCTGCAAACCCCACCTTCTAGCTGTGAGATCTTGGGTGAGATCATTTCCCTCTGCCAGCCTCTTTCCCCGTTTTTCAGACTGAGGATAACCATGCTGTCTTAGCAGTTGTGAGCATTAAATGAAATCATTGATAAAATTGTTTACTTATGTATCTGGAACACACACTAGATGCTTAATACACTTTAGGTCTCCTCTTCCCCCTCCACTCAGATAATCTTGGAGGCTCATTTTGGGCAACAGCCAGTATCAGCAGATGCTTAGAGAAGAGTCTAATGATCTGTGGGCTGATGAAGCCATGAAACGGGTCAGAGATAGAAACAATGGGACAGGAGTGACAGTGTGCTTGCAGCGTAAGCCAAAGAAAATATTGCCTGTGTCAATGTCACAGAGCAGCTCAGGGACAACCCTGATGAAGAATTTTCTGAAGCATTTCCTGAGGAATTTTAGTCATGGTGAAGATTGTTAAATAAATGAAAGTATAAAAACTCCTCTTGACACTTGGGATTTTTAAACAATTGGACTCTTTCAAAGGAAAGTACTTTGAGACGTATGAACACTCTTAGATTTTAGTCTTTTTAGTTTTTCGCCTACCCTTAAAAATAGGTTTATAAACATCTTTGCTCATGAAATCTCAGGTATCCCCTGAAAGAAAGAAATAGGGATCCTCTGAAATCAATGCCTAAGGCAGAACAAAAAACAATAAAAGTCATATAACATCATGATTATCATTGGAAAGCACTTAAATTGTACTCAAGTATCAGCTCAAAAGTCAACATTACCAAGACTAGAAAGCAGGATATCAAAAACATATTTGTACACCCATTTTCATAGTGGTATTATTCACAATACAGTAGTGAAGATACAAAAGTTACTCAAGTGTCCATCAATGGATAAACAAAATATGACATATATTTACAATGAAATATTATTCCACCTTTTAAAAAAGAAATTCTGGCACATGCTACAACATGCTAAGCAAAGCAATCTAGTCACAAAAGGACAAATTCTGTCTGATTCCATTCATATGAACTCTTGTAAGACAGATGGGTGGTTATTGGGGCTGTGGAAAGGAGGAATGGAGAACTGTTGTTTAATGGGTGTAGGTTCAGTTTTGCAAAATGCAGAAGAGTTCTGGAGAATGGTTGCATGTTATAAATGTGCTTAACATGAATGAACTATACGCTTAAATATGGTTGATGATAAATTTTATGGAATGTGCATTTTACCACAATTAAGAAAATGTCAACAATGAGTTTTCTGTGTTTATCTTTGTGCATTTAACATAAAGATTCAACTACAGGTAAGTGTCCTTGATTTGGCCCTAACTTTTCTGTTCCCCTCCCCATTCAAACGAACACTTTGTTCTTATTGTTCCGAGAAGGAACATAACCCTTTCTTATTTTTTTTTCTTTTTGGCCGAATACCAATATTTTAACACCTACACAGGATGGTGCTGCACTGTGTCTCTCCTTTTCTTACTAGTCATGTCTTATAGCTTTAGTAATGAAAGTTCTGTTGAGAAGCAACAAGAAGGCTTTGGCTCTAAGACCACACACTGTACTTAAATGTCACAGAAATAGTATGAACTGTGAGCTAACCTACGGGAGGTTTAAATGTCACAGAAATAGTATGAACTGTGAGCTAACCTACGGGAGGTCTCACGTTTCTACTTTTGAGGTCCATCAACACTCACAAACTGTATTTGTACTGAGAATATATGTTTTAGGTAGAGTTGAATAAGTTGCACTTGTATTTCCTTCAAAAAAAGGGACTTCTAAGACATGTAATAGCAGTGGGTTAAACAAAAAGGCAGACAGCACTGCCCAATCTTTGAAAACTATAGCCCTGATTTTTATACATGTTAGTTCACAAACAATATTCTATCATTTTGATATAAAACCAAATCCTTCATTGCTTTAAAAAATACTGTTAGGCAACAAATTGTTAGCTGCCTTTAAATTATATACAGTTGGGAAAGAAATAGAATTTCATACACTGCACATGTCTGTATCTCTTCAGAGCACCCAGCAGAGCTTTGCCCCCAGGAAGTAGTCAATAAATGGTTATTGAATTTAGAGTGTCCTTCCTTCCAATCAGTGAGATTTAATCTATTTCCAATTCAGAATGCCTATTAATTTTCCAGCATTACTAAACCTTTTAAAAAATCCATTTTGGGATGTGTTTAAGTGTTCACAGCAAATACTATTATATAAATGATAAAGAGGAAAGTGTTAAATGAAGCATGCTTATTCAACACACCAGTAGCCATTGGTAAAATGTAATTTAATTTAATCATTTAAATTTACATTGTTAATGTACAAGAGCATTTCTTTCAAACCACAGGTTAACACACACTAAAGAGCAGTGCTGTTAGAGGAGTAGAGGAAGTCGGGAAAACTCTGCTGTCTGAAATAAAAGCAAGGCACTCTCCGTTAACAGCTGGTGGATTCCTGATTTCTGCCCATGGAAGGCATGTTCATATTGAGAGAGTTGAAAGAATCACCTGCTTTAATGCTTGCTGTCTTCTTCTGAGCTAGTGTGGTCATACACTCTGTATAAATTTGTGTGTTAACATTGAAGGGAGAGAGAGAGAGAGAGAGAGAAAGACAGAGAGGGAGAGAAATTGATGCATGACTGGGGAGGCTCTCATAGTTGCAATAACTATGGAAGACAGAAAAAAAAACCACTGGCTATAATCATTATTTTCAGCACTAGTGTCTGGACCTATAACTAAAAAGCTTCTTTATCCCTTCCAACTGATAAGATATGACAGCTAAAAAGTCCTTTTTCTTAAATCTGGTGGATGTAAAAATAACAAGTGAAGCATTTTTTTGTTGTTTTTGTTTTGCTTTGCTTTTCCTTTTCAGAGATAACAAAAGCAAGGATTAACTTTCCAAGTATTCATGGTGCACAGGAAGGTTATGTATGCACAGTACTTCTAATTTATTCAAATTCAATTTGAATTTGGTCTGAAGCTATCTTGTATGAAATGTTAGCTTTCCTGATATTTAATGATGTTTATTATGTTTGCATATAAGCTCAAAAAATTAATACAAACTACTACTTTATTTGTGGTTATCTTCAGGTAAAATGTTAATATTAGTGATTATATTTAAAAGCTTATTTTCTTACAGCTGCAGAAAGTTGAGATAAAAGACCATGGAAAGGTGAGTTAGATCGCATTCTTGAGTCTGTTATTAGCTGTTTGACTTTGTGAAACTCTTTTGCCTTTCAATGGACCTTCATTTTCTCCTCTATGAACTGCAGGAGATTGGACTGGTTAACAACTCAGGGCCCTTCCAAGTCTAACATTTCAAAACCCCAGCGATTCAGATCCTATCATCTTGATACAAAAATAATCTTTCATAAAAGCTCACACAAACATAATACATGGTCAAATATCAGAAGGACTCAGAAAAAATTATATGATTTGTTATCTAGGTTATAATTTGCAGCAATTAGGCAATTCATTTGGCATTTGTTTGATTGTATGATTTAATGACAATATAAACAGCATAGTTTTGTTACTTTTCCTTTAAAAAGCCTAAAGCAAAAATGATTTAAAGCTAATGAAAACTACTGTGACATCAGTTTGACATTCAAAGTTTGTTTCTTAGCAAAATGGCCAAAGGTATTTTGACTTGATACAGTGTATATAATATAAAGACTTTTAGACCTAAAAATCTTCAAACATTATTTGAATTTAGCAAAACATAAGCAAAATTTTAATATCAAAGTGCTAAACAGTACTGCCTTAAAAGTCACTGCAAATGAACCATAAAATAACGGGCATGGGAAGTGACATTTATTGTACAAATGGTTAATAAAAAGACATTATAAATATATATATGTAACCTGCTATATTTATATATATATTTGCTTAGTTTCTAATTGGTGTATCCAAGTCACTGTGAACACCCCATTTAATTATTCTGTAATTCAGCCGCTAGGAGCTGGTGGTTTTGCAATAAATACAGGCAAAGCTATTACAATATAACGTGCATACAAATGTTTATACAAATAAGGACACTATGCAACAAATTATCTCATAATAATATGGCATTAACAGTATAAACATACAAAAGGGAGTACGAACACGGAATGTTGAAACGCAGCCCACTAATCTTTTCTGGTACTCACATTAATACTATTTAAAAAAAAGACTTGCCCACTCTCCAAAAATTATCTCTTTAACCATTAACAAAAATTAAATTATATATATATGAGATTATATATATATATATATATATATATATATCTCCTTACTATCCCTGGTGTTTACCCTGTATAACCCAGTTCCTACTTATTTGCATGTTCTCATCTGGGGATCAAATACTTGACTGATTCATCAAATGCTCCTTAGATTTCTGAATGAATGTATCAGTAAGCTGGTACAACTGGCAGGGTTGATAGAACACAACCAAAACAAGTGTATGTAATCCATTTTATAATCCCCCATCAGTACAGCTAGAGACTCGACAGGGATCGAGTTCCATGAAGAACGGTCTGGAAGTCTTGGATGGACCATACCTCCAAAGGGTTTTAGGGCATGTGGATGGAGCCTTTTCTAGGAGAATCAGCATGTTATCTGCAAACATGACTGCTTCCTTTTAATTTCCATATGAAATAAAGGAGAGTTCATGAACAAGACTTAGTAAGACAGCACTTTAAAAATTGCACTTGAATATGGAAGCGAACAGCCATTATTGTTTTGCTATGTCTGATGTGTAGGTAATCCATCGTCTTTTACCATTTGTTAAAACAAAATTTTTTAAAAAAGAAAGAAATTACAAAAACGGAGTTTCTATCTTATTTGCACCACATACTTACCCTTGATACAGGAAGTGTATTCTAAAGGGATCAATCTTAAGATGTATCCTACCCTGGCGAACAACCCTAGGCTGTTCTTGTTTTTAAATACAAAGCAACCATAATTATATTCCCCAGAAAGTCTTAAAACAGTTATATTATCCTTTTTTTTTTTTCCTGCTGGGATAGCATCATCCAAAAGTGCTTTGTTAGCAATTTCTTAGAAAACCCTCATGAACTATAACCCTTCCCACCCCACCCTCCAAAGCCTAAATAGAAAACACAACTCCAACACAATACTCTGTAAGTTTTCTGGTTTTAGGTTGTCAGGAAAGATTCCAGGAAAATGTCTTTGTTTTCTATAGGAGCTGTTTTTTTCTCTGAAGGGACAGAAAAATCGTAGATGTCCAGCCCCATCCCTTTCTGCTTAACAAGCAGGAGCTAGCAGATGAGGCGGCCACCCTGCTCAGATTGCTCGTGCTTAGAAAGGTAGGGTATCCAGGAAGAGCTTGTCAATGATGGAAGGTGGAGACACCAAGTCTTCCAGCTTCAGGTAGAAGATGCGCTGGAGGCCCAGGGTGCAGATCTTCCTCAGTTCTACCAGTGCACCTAGGACCTTGGGCTCGGCGGGCTCCAGGGCCTGTCCTTTACTCTGGTGGTCTTTTAAGCTGCTTGTGATCTTGTTGCATAGCTCCTCCACTCTCTTTGGTTCTTTTAACCCATGTCGTTCTGCAGAAGGGTAGAAAAAGGCAAGTTTAAGAGGCAGATACACCTTAATCCCTAATCATGGTCTGTCCCTTTTGGAATAGGAGAGGTCATACTTAAATACCCTCCTTCTGAGAGATAGGTTATAGTCTTTGTATCAAACAACACCAGGGTTTGAATTCTAGTACTGTCGCTTACTTGCTGCATGCTCTTGAGTAAGTTTCTAATTTCTGAGCCTGTTTCTTTATGAGATGAAGATAATGATCATACCCCAATCCAGGGTTTCTGTAAGGGCCAACAGGTGAATAACACAAATGCAGCACACAGCCTGGCACACAGCTGCAATGAGTGTATGACAGGTGCTTATTATTTTGTACACATCCTGTTAAGATCTCACAGGAATCCTGTCAGTCGGAAATTCTTTTTCAGAGTTACAAGGACATGGATCCAGGTAAATGAATGAATGTTCCCATCTTGACAGTCTCACTTGAGGTGGGCAGGGAGGCTAATTCTGTTTGCTAATGCAAGGGCTACCCTGCAAAGCCTGATCTGAAGTGTATTCTTATGTTTTCATGCTAACCAGCATTGGGAAGAATCCAGCTTTTCTCCTTTATTTTCCCTTCTTTCCTTGAAACTCCTATTTACATATACCTGGAACTCTGCAAAATGTACATGTCCTCCTGCTGTGGAGATGAAAACTCAGAGAAAGGGAGAAGACCTGGAAGAATGTGGTGCAGGCATTTTATAATATATCAACCCATAAATGCCACTCTTATGTTTTATAAAACAACATAGAAAAGAATCCCCATATTAAATACTGTGATCCATTTTATGTGCAAGTTTCAATGGTTTCCCCAAAGTCTCAAGGCTGCTAAAAGATGGGATTTGAATCCTATCTTCCAGCAGATTCTATCCTCTTGTTACAGAGCTGTGCCGCATTTCCCCATGATGAGAAAGGACCCTGACACTCAACACAAGACCCTTTGCTTCCCCTCAGCCTTTAGATAACTTGGTCTCTTTCCTAAGGGAAGAGGGTGGCCTCAGTTATCTCGAAGTTTTTCTGTGATTCTTTTTGTTTTTTTTTGTACTGGGAATTGAACTCAGGATCTTACACTTGCCAGGCAGGTGCTTGTGCCACTGAGCTATATCCCCAGTGCTCTCAAAGTTTTTCTTTCTCTGTATATTTACATGTAAAAGTCAGTGCTTGAGAGACACAGACATCTCTCTAATGGGAAATCAAGGATTAGTTTCTGATTTCTCCTAGGCTTTGTCATTTTAGTTGGAGAAATTTTTGTTAGTAATTTCTCTAAATCAAAAGCCAACCAGAAAAATGAAGCCACTATCCAGGTATTTTTCTTTTTTCTTGTCCCAAAACTGTATTTTCCCCAGCTTTGTTAGTTGTGTGTGACTTGGGCAAGTCCCTCTCTCCTCAGGACCATGTCAAAAAAGAGGTTGGATTAATAACCTCTCAGGTCCTGTCCAGCCCTGATGTGTTAAATTATATTAAAGTAAAACCATGAAAATTGCTAGCCACAGCTCAGTGGACTCTAACTTGCATCTCGGTGTGCTCGCTTCAGCAGCACATATACTACCTTGCATCTCGATGCCACTTCCCATAGAGAAAGGGGCGCTAGGCTGAGGAGTTCAACAGACCCAAAGTGCAGTTCTGGTTCTGTCACCTACTAGCCGTGTGACCCAATCTCTCTAAGGCTCAATGTCTAAGGCTCCATGTAAAAATATGGGGGATATGGGGTAGTAAATGCATCAGTCTCTGTTGTATTTTTCCTATCTTAAATATTACATAAAAATTAAAAGAGAAGTGTGATTATAACAAAACCCACCTCCGTGGGTGGTTGTGAAGCACAACTAAGATGATGCTACATAAAAGCATTCTGTCAACAGTACAGCGCTGCACACGTGGGACTGGCAGCACCAAAGACAACGCCTGACACTTGGCAAGTGGTTAGCAACTGCAACATCCAACAAAGGCAATAAAGTCTCCTAATTCCAAAGCTTTGCAGTGCATGACTTTGCTTTCCCTGGGAAACTAGTTGCTAATCAGTCCAGGTGCAAACTTTTCCCTGTAGCTTATCTGTACTAAATACACAGCTTTGTGTTTTGTCTCAGAGGAAGCACCCAAGAGTGAACTTCAAGAGATATCCTGCCTGCAGTGGTGTTCTGTCTAAAGTTTTATTTCCCCTCCAAAAGCATAAAAGCAGGCTGCAAATTCGGCAGTAAATTTCAAGAGCTATAAAATGTTAATAGCCTCTGACCAAGTAATCCCACTCGTGGGAATTTATACAAGGGAAAAATTTGACAGAAAAATAAAACTATACACAGAGATATTTTGTGTAGCGCTACCCTTTTACCAACGTCTACTGCCCAAGGACAAAAACAAACATTGGAAAAAGATAAAGGGCTGAAGAATAGGAAATCTGTTAGGTAAATAATGGTATATCTATACAATGGAAGATTCTGGAGACATGGAAAAAGACAAGCATGAAGACTATGAAGCAAATTGGAAGAATATTCATAACATTAAATGAAGGGTGGAATAATAAGTCATACCTGAATTGTAATTACATCTAAGCAAAAATTAATTCTGCCTGTAGAAAAAGGATGAAAGGAAGCAAAATATGAAAATATTTAAGAGGTGATTGGATAAGATTTTTTACTTTCCTATAAAATTTCCAGGTCAGTGCTGTTTTGTATAGCAATGTTAAAACAGAAGAAGATGGCAGTTGGTCCTTTGCGAGACCTTGTAGTAACTGTAACAAGATCAAACACTTTCTTGCTGATACTAAGCTCTGTTAACATTGAGCTATATCACATCTGAGTCACAAGCTAGGGAGAGGTGCCTTTCTCAGAATAAAATATCAGTGCATCGATTTAAGCTTTCCCTTCCTTTCGGTGCTTCATGTTACTCACAGTATTTCAGATCCCATGTTCACTGTGGAGAGGGAGAAACTGAGCAATATGGTGGCTGAATTTCTGGAGGGGCTTGATTGTGGAACCTCATAGCTAGACTTTCTCAGGGCCAAACTCACAGGAGGGGGCCTCGGAGTTTTCCTTGCTCTCCAGCCAGTTGTGACGGCTCAATAACTATGGCAACCATTATTTATTCAGTGAATTCAAGTGGAGATCGATACCTCCTGCCAGCTGGATCAACTCTAGGCCTGGAATTCCTTGAGGAATTCAGAGACACTCCTGTCAGAAGGCAAAGGCACCTCAACCCTTCTTTGTTGTTCTAAATAGCCTCTGGATTTGTGGCTTCTCCACTTTTCCGAAAGGTTTAAGGTAAAATTCAGTTTCCATGCAAATTACTGCCAGCAGCCAGCAAGATGTTTTGATCACTAGGGAGTCACTAAGTGTCTGGGACCACCCCAGTAATGTGAAATTCCTCAGAACCCCAATTGCTGACATTAAGATGAAGAGACCTCCTTTCTTCTTGCAGCCTGGTAACATAGCTGCAGAGCTAATATACAGAAAGTTCACACATTCTGGGGCAAATTAGCAGTTGGATTTTCTCCTTTCCTAGAAAATTTTAAACAGAAGATCTTAAAGATCTTTCTCTACCATTAAAGAAAACAAGCTTCTCAGTATTTCTTGCATTTTGATCTATAGAACATTTATCCTATATTTTGATATTTTAACTCAGGTATTATATACTCAAAACTTCAAAATGCAACTTATAGAAATGGTAGTAGATTTATGTGTCACAATCACTGTAAACACAAATTGGAAGGCGTTTGAGTCACTTAAATTCCCATCTAAGAGAGTAATTTCTACTACAAGCTACGACAAAGAGAGTGTCGTGTACTAGCTGGACTGGAAGTTCCACGATTTCAACCCGGCAATAGAAATGGTTCTAATAGAACTTTATATAAGGAGTGATTGAAAAATATGATGAAAATTACAGTAAAATACACACTACCATTAATTCCCAGCAAAATACTCTCCCAGGCTTGGAACACACTAACACTATCACTCTTTCCACTTTCTGAAGCAATTCTGAAAACCCTTTACATATCTTTATGAGCTGTGATAAAAAATATGGTGAATGTTCCTGCAAACTGCTACCCAGCACAGACAGGCTTGAGGATACATGACAGTGTGTCCTCTTCCCCCTTATTCACTGGATCTGCCACTGTCAAATTTGGTTCTTCCCCAAAGTCAAAATGACCTCGAGAGGCAACATTTTGAATGAACGCAGGGCATCAAGACAACACGGCTGTGCAACTAAAGACACAATAAGGGACCCTCAGAACTGCTTCAGAAGATGGTGAGACTGATGGGATAAGTGTGTCAAAGAGAGGGGAGTATTTTGAGGGGGATTAATGGCAATGTGTCTTTGACTTTAAATTTTTAAAACATGTAAACACATACCATATTTTTCAATAATACCTTTACTGATGCATCGGTATTTTATTCTGAGAAAGGCATCTCTCCCTACCTTTACCTTTTCAGTAATATATTTTAGTCTTTTACTTAAGATTATTTTATCTTACCCACACAACAATCCTGTAAATTAGGCAGGACAAAGATTATCTTTAATTAATAAGTATGAAAGCTCAGACTCAAAGAGTTAAGGCCGAGTGCAGACACTTCCATTATACTACTATATGCTGCCTCCTACTTTGATGCCTCTAGTTAGGAAGTTTCTCCTCACCCTGAGAGGGACTATCCTCCGCATCTTCCTACTTCTACTGTACTGAAGTAGCTAGTGGATTAATTACTTCTTGCAACAAATCTTTACTGAGGACCCATCCTACGGTAAGCAGTGTTATAGCCACTGGTGTGAGAGCAGCAGAGAAAATAAACAACAGATGCTGAGCTGCATGAGGAGTAAACATCTAGAGACACAGTTGGAGCCTATGCACTTTACTCTCCATGCCAGACATCTCTGTGGCGAGAAAGGACAGGAGGCAGGGCTAAGGGGAAGGGGCAAAATGGGGGGAAGATGACTGAATGAAGTGATAGAGTCATTTTGGTCTGTGTTCATGCTTTCCCATCCTCTGCTGGCT